ATTTGCTCCAGTTATCCAGGCCGGGATGGAAGCTCTGAAGGTAAAGCAGGAGTCCCCAGCAACCTCCTCTGACTATGTTATCGACTGGATTGATAACTGTCAGTCCGTTTCACACAGTTAGTGCCTAATGAACAACAAAGAAAAAGATGAGTGAATAGTGGATGAATAAAGGGAGGAATAAATGAGTAGTTTATCTTTGCTCTTAGGCTGCCGAGTGTGCGGGAAAGCTGTTTCTGTTCCACACGTCCTTGCCCATTGCAGAGGCCCCAGGGAAGCTGAAGAATAGAGATGATAGGAAGTTGATCAACACAGACAAGGAGAAGGTGTGTGACTCGAGATGGGAGGGGCATTCCACTATAGAGGAAGGCCATTAACTTTCCCACGCCAACTCCTCAGTGCCACCTGATGGACTGGGATTACATTTGGCCCATTTGCAACTGCCAACCCGATCACAAAACTCTTGGTTGACTTGACTAGAATCTTCCCTTTTTCTCTTTCATTTTTTGCTGGAGATAGGGGGTTTATCTCTGTAGCCTAGGCTGGCCTGGAACTCACTGAGTAGTCCAGGCTGGCCTCATACTTGTAGTGGTCTATCTCTGCTTTCTGTGTGCTGGAATTATAGATGTGCCCAATCACACCCTGTACCTTTTCTTTTTCTCTTTTTCCTTCCCTTCCTTTCACTTCCCCTCTCTATTCTTCCTTTTCTTTCCAACTTTCTCCTGTTGGAAATACAAGGTGGTAGGTCTGAAGTTTTGAAACTGAGTTTCTCATTTTACATAACAATTTTCAAGTTGTGCAAAGCTTTTAACATTTCTTCTCTTCTTTTTCAGACTCTGTTTCAGCCTCAGACAGGTACCTATCAGACTCTGGCCAAAGAGTGTGTGGCCCAAGGCTGCTGTGTGGACCTCTTCCTCTTCCCTAACCAGTATGTCGATGTGGCCACACTTTCTGTTGTTCCCCAGCTCACTGGAGGCTCCGTCTACAAATATGCCTGCTTCCAGGTATAAGATTCTGGGTGTGAAAATATCTGCTTATATGTGGAGTGGCTCTTTAGCTATTATCTTATTAGTGGTGTGTGAAGTTGAGCCCAGGGTGTAGTGGTTAGGTGCATAGGTTTTAAAGTCACTCCTGGGTTGATACTGAGGCCCCCACTTACTGGCCTAGAATACTCAATTACTCATGTTTTGTTCTTTCATCTGCAGAGTAGAGTTTACTAACTAGGATTTGTCTACAGAATGAAATAATTATATATAAGGCACTCTGTATGCTCCCTGTTATGTCATGAATCTGCAAAATCGTCATTGTCACTGTTGTCCTTGTTTTTGCTGTCACTCTGATTAAGTAGGCTTGTTGAGAGGAAGGGGTGCAGGGAGACTGACTGCAGGATGAGTTGTGTGGTCAGTGATGTGACTTGGGCATGGACTGCAGGTGGAGAATGACCAGGAACGGTTCTTGAGTGACCTGCGTCGGGATGTACAGAAGGTGGTTGGCTTTGATGCTGTTATGCGGGTTCGGACAAGTACTGGTGAGTTTTGGTTAAGGTTAAATCTGGTTGAGGCATATGTCCTACCTTTAGCCCTGACCTGTCTCCGTGGCCTCAGGTATCCGTGCTGTAGATTTCTTTGGAGCTTTCTACATGAGCAATACAACAGATGTGGAGTTGGCTGGACTAGATGGAGACAAGACAGTGACTGTGGAATTCAAGCATGATGACCGGCTCAATGAAGAGAGTGGAGCCCTACTGCAGGTGGCAGGCGGGAGACAGGGACAGGGAACAGAAGTTGGGGTGCATTCAATGGGAAGAAAGGAGTGGGTAAAATTGTGAGGGAGGGGTGTGAGTTCCCCCTTTCTCCCTTCCCCTAGTGTGCCCTGCTTTATACCAGCTGTGCAGGGCAGCGTCGTCTCCGCATCCACAACCTGGCCCTAAACTGCTGCACCCAGCTGGCTGATCTGTATCGAAACTGTGAGACTGACACGCTCATCAACTACATGGCCAAGTTTGGTGAGAGTAGAAGCAGGGCAGGGTGGAAGTGGCCAGGATGGTCAAAAGTTGAGTACTCCTGGGTAGGTGTGATGGTGGGAAGATGCATGTGATGGGAAGCAGACCAGTGACTGTTGTCTCTCCTTCCCATGTAGCATACCGGGCTGTTCTGAGTAGCCCTGTGAAGACTGTCCGTGACACTCTCATCACCCAATGTGCCCAGATCCTGGCCTGTTACAGAAAGAACTGTGCCAGCCCTTCTTCTGCAGGACAGGTGGGGCAAGGATGTTAGTGGAGGGATTGGTTCAACAAAACTTTGCATTTTAGAGGGACTTCTCATATTTGTTTCCATAAATCCCTCAGTTGATTCTTCCTGAGTGCATGAAGCTACTTCCAGTTTACCTGAACTGTGTGTTGAAGAGTGATGTTCTGCAGCCTGGAGCTGAGGTCACTACTGATGATCGTGCCTATGTTCGACAGCTGGTTTCCTCCATGGATGTGGCTGAGACCAATGTCTTCTTCTACCCTCGGCTCCTACCACTGGTGCGAATGAGGATTGAGTGTGAGACACTACTGAGGACAGGGCCTCTAAGAAGGAAGGGGTGGATTACTTTATTGCCAACACTAAGAAATTTGTTTTTATGTACATTTCATATTACTAGCTGAAGACTTAGCTTTCTTAGTTTCTGTGCATAAAGGAGTGTGTTGTAGTTCTTGGTGATGTTTTTTTCCTTTTTGTCTAGACAAAGTCTCCCCTTGATAGTACCACTGAACCACCAGCAGTTCGAGCCTCTGAAGAGCGTTTAAGCAGTGGTGATATATATTTGCTGGAAAATGGGCTCAACCTCTTTGTCTGGGTGGGAGCAAGCGTCCAACAAGGCGTTGTCCAGAGCCTTTTCAACGTGTCCTCCTTCAGTCAGATCACCAGTGGCTTGGTGAGAACAGGGTGTCAAGGATGAGATGGGTATTGAAAACCACTTTGGTGATGTGACTGTGGGTTGGTGAAGTCATGCTTGTCCCTTTATTATGTATTAGAGAACACTGGAGGCAAGGGAAGGGGCTATCATGGGTTTTCTGGTTTCTTCATTTCAGAGAATACCTAAATTTGTGTTGTTCACTCTTGATGGACTTAAAAGTAATGACTTTGTCATAGTAATGAATGAATTTTTGTTCCAGAGTGTTCTGCCAGTTCTGGATAATCCACTGTCTAAGAAAGTTCGAGGCCTCATTGATAGCTTACGGGCACAGAGAATGCGGTACATGAAGGTAACACAGATGTTCTGTTTTGCAGTGGTGGGGCTGGATATTGAACCCTGGGCCTTCTGTATGCCAGACAAGCACTCTTACCACTGAGCTACATGCCTAGCACAGTATTTTTTTTTTTTTTTTTTTTTTTTTTGGTTCTTAAAGACAGGGTTTCTCTGTGTAGCCCTGGCTGTCCTGGAACTCACTCTGTAGACCAGGCTAGCCTCGAACTCTCAAACTCAGAAATCTGCCTGCCTCTGCCTCCCAAGTGCTGGGATCAAAGGCGTGCGCCACCACCGCCTGGCTAGCACAGTATTTTTTATTTTGTTGAGTCAGCAGGAAGGAGCATAGGGAGTGAGGGTAAGAGTACTTCATTACCATCTGCCCTTCCTTACAATCTGCCCTCTGGCTGTAGCTTATCGTGGTCAAACAGGAAGACAAGCTGGAGATGCTGTTCAAGCACTTCCTGGTGGAAGACAAGAGCCTAAGTGGAGGTGCATCCTATGTGGACTTTCTCTGTCATATGCACAAGGAGATTCGGCAGCTACTGAGCTAAAGCAAGTGGGTAAATGGCATAGGGTCCCAGGCCAGCTTCCAGGAAGAACCCCAGGTTGGCAGAGAAATTGGGACAGTTCCATATCTTATAAGTCATGTAAGCTGACCTCAGTTGACTTCTTTGGGGGGGAGGGTGAGATTTAAGGAGACACCTTCTTTCTGGGCTCAAATACCCTACCACTCTGTCATGTCCTGCTGATCGAAGGTGCCCCAGGCCCCTTACTCTACCCTTTCTCCTGCTAATCCTGTTATAATGAATGTAGTTTCTCAGTTCACTGTATATGACTGGGTGTTGGGGGTTTGGAGGCAGCCAGGCCCTGGCAACAATGTGTCCCTTTGGACCAGCCTCCAAGAGGAAAGGGGCAGGCAGGAAGAAGTGGGAATCCCAAGGTTATTACAGGAAGTGGCAAATTCAGCTCCGTGTCATCAACAACTTCCTATATTAGGGATAAAATATACAGGTGCACAAGAGCTGGGGTACAGACCGTAGTAGGTGGTGGAGAGTAAAACAGCTGGTCCTTTGGGGGCCTGGTGGTCAGTAGCAAAGTCCTAGTTACTGAGGATGGATGACTAGTTGTCTCTCTACTTCCACTGTGCGTGCTCTCTCTCCCCTGCAATGATTGGTGAGCACTTCGTGGACAGAAGCACATAGCTAGAGATGAGTGAGCCTGGGGTAAGAATTGCAAAGCATATTAACACCTAGGGGAAGTAGCAGCCTCCTTTCCAGATGGAGAAGCCCCAATCCTGGATGGTTCTATAGAGAGCCTGATGGTCAACTTGCAATACCTCACAGAGCCAGCCCACATCCCACTCAGCTTCCACCAGAAACGTTGTTGGGGAGAGGCAGAGATGGCAGGAGCCCTGTCTTCCGGTGCCAGGATATTACTGGGATTTGGTATTGACTGAGTGGCTGACAAGTTATCTTCCAACTCCAATTGGCTGGGCAGGACAAGGGCTAGGAATGACGGTGGTCAGGCTTGCCTGCTCCCAGCCCAGGATGCCCCTGCTATGGACCTTTCATTTCTTTTCATTGGTTTATTTTTCAATGCATCTTTAATTTGTAAAGAAATAAAATAAGATGTAACCAGTATCCCTTTCATTACTCTTGACTTCTCACCACCCTGCCTGCGCCCGAGAGGAGTTACGCATGCGCCGTGTGCCCCTATGGCGTAGGGCCCTGGTCCGCTCCCCACTCGCCGCAGGGCGGGGTTTCGTGCTGTCCGAGCGGGTCTGCTGTGGACATGGCTGCTCGCTGCACCCAGGCGGTGCTGGCCGCCTTGGGGGTGCTCAGTGTCTGTTCGGCCAGCAGCTCCGGATCCGCGGCTTCGGGGGAGGCGGGTGGGAAGGCAGAGAGGGAGGAGCCGTGGGATGGCGCGGTTTTTCGGCCGCCGGCTGCCCTAGGCGCCGTGGGGATTGCGCGCGGGGCGGGGTCCCCACCGTCGGGAAACACGGAGACGGTGGACCTACCAGTGTTGCTGTGGTGGAGCCCAGGTCTGTTTCCGCACTTCCCAGGTGACTCGGAGCGGATAGAGTGTGCGCACGGCGCGTGCGTGGCGTCCCGGGATCGACGGGCGCGCGCCGACCCGCGGACGCGCGCATTGCTCTTTTACGGCACGGACTTCCGCGCAGCTGACGCGCCCCTGCCGCGCCTGCCGCACCAGAGTTGGGCGCTCCTGCACGAGGAGTCGCCGCTCAACAACTTCCTGCTGAGCCACGGCCCGGGCATCCGCCTCTTCAATCTCACGGCCACCTTCAGCCGCCACTCGGACTATCCCCTGCCGCTGCAATGGCTGCCCGGGGCCGCCTATTTGCGCCGGCCTGCGCCTCCGCTCCGGGAGCGCGCAGAGTGGCGTCGCCGCGGGTACGCGCCGTTGCTCTACTTGCAGTCCCATTGCGACGTGCCTTCCGACCGGGACCGCTACGTACGCGAACTCATGCGCTACATCCCGGTGGGTGAGAGAGCGGCGAGGCGGGGCGGGGGTGGGCCGGGCGAACGCCACATCCTGCTGACCGCCGTCCTCTGACTCGCTTAGGTGGATTCCTATGGCAAGTGCCTGCAGAACCGCGAGCCGCCCACGATGCGGTTACAGGACACAGCTACGGCCACCACCGAGGATCCAGAACTCATGGCCTTTTTGTCCCGCTATAAGTTCCACTTGGCCCTGGAAAATGCCATCTGCAATGATTACATGACAGAAAAATTGTGGCGCCCCATGCATCTAGGTGCTGTGCCTGTGTATCGTGGATCACCCTCTGTGAGGGACTGGATGCCCAATAATCATTCCATCATCCTAATTGATGACTTTGAGTCCCCTCAAAAGTTGGCAGAGTTTATTGACTTTCTGGACAAAAATGATGAGGAGTATATGAAATACCTGACATACAAGCAGCCTGGAGGCATCACCAACCAGTTTCTTCTGGATAACCTGGAGCACAGGGAGTGGGGAGTGAATGATCCTATGTTGCCTAACTACCTCAATGGCTTTGAGTGTTTCGTCTGTGACCATGAACTGGCTCGGCTGGATGCCGAGAAAGCACATGCATCCTCTCCTGGGGACATTCCTGTCCCCGAGCCTCACATTGCCCAGTCGTCGCACATGAACTGTCCAGTGCCTACCCCTGGCTTTGGGAAAGCCGAAGAGATTCCTGAGAACGACAGGTAAAGGGGTTGCTGGGATGCCCTGCAGCTGCCAGATCAAACTTCTTGCTTTCTTAGTGTGTTGGAGACTGTGAAAAAGACAGTATAGGCTCACTTTGCTTTAATATCATTGGTAGTTGGGCTGGGTGTGATGGATACACCTGTTATCCCAGCGGTGTGGGGAAGGTTAGAAAACCTGAGCACATACAGTGGGGCCAGGCTATAAAGAGCCTGATTGCCAAGCTGAGGATCAGCACCTGAGCTGAGTACCTTTGATGGGGAGATGGGCAACATAAAGATGAGTTTTGGCTGTGCTAAGATTAAGCCCAGGGGCTTCTGCATGCCAGGAGAATATTTTCCACCTTGTCACACACTTCAGCCCAATAAGAGCATTTTGGAAGGATTTTCCTTGTCTGCAGTAATCAACTAACCAGACAGACTAGAGTCTCACTCTGTAGCCTGAGCTGACCTCAGACTTGGGTTGATTCTCCTGTCTTCTCACCCTCCCCCAAGTGCTGAGATTACAGATCGAGCCACTATACCCATGAAAAGCATCTTCATCTTTTTTGTGTGATGAGGTCAGAGCTTTGTGTATGCTAAGCAAGCCCTCTACCATTAAGCTATACTCTCAGCCCTCCTTTTACTTTTATATGCCCTGACTAATTCACTCTAAATAGAACTGAAGGAATGCTTTCAGTAGGTATATAATTAATATTGGGTGTCAGTGTGGGTAAAGAGAAGTGAGTTGAAAGCAGGATATACCTGCCTTGGGAAAGGTGTGCATGGGAAGTAGAATGGAGATGTTGAAACCACCCACAGCAAGCCACAACAGTTAATTTGGAGGGAGATTACTAGAACAGCTCACAGAAAGTGACTTCAACAGTGGGTGGCAGCAGAGGCCTGCTTACATATGCTGCTGGCACAATAGGGGCTTGATGGTGGAGTCTTTCACTAAGGATCTGTCAGTTTATGCTGAATATATGATTTAATAGAAGAAAATTCAAAACAGTAGAGAAATAGCCAGGGATTGTAGTGCATACCTGTAATTCTAATGCCAAAAAGACCGAGCTGGAGTATCAGGAATTCAAGGTCATAGTTTTGCCATGTACAGTGAGTTTGAGGCCAGCCTGAGCTATTATAGACCCTGACCCACTAACAAAAGAAAATTCAGGTTGTGCCTTTTCTACACACTAGATGTCACTGTACCTTCATTTAGATTTTCAAATAACTGAAGGTTAAAACCGTCTAAGGGCTCCCTTGCTTTTCTCTAGATGCCATTTCCATGCTCTGGACCCTTTGCACTTCCTCTACATTTGAGAGCTAGAGGCAAGTCTGCAGTGTCAGCTACTTTGCAGTACTATGATGTCTTTATGTTTATGACCTACTTCCTATCTCTTGGACTAGAATTAGTTTTACTCCATATCTTTTTCCTTCACAGCAGAGCCTTATTCTATCCAGAGGCCCAGTATCTGCTTAACTTTTTGTTTGTTTTTCAAAACAGGGTTTCTCTGTGTAGCCTTGGCTGTCCTAGAACTCAGAGATCCCCCTGCTTCTGCCTCCTGGTTACTGAGATTAAAAGTGTGTGCCTCTACCATGGCCTTGCTTATGATTTCTTTGGGACCACTCAAAGAAAGGTGGAGCCTATTTATCACTGCTATGGCTCCCAGTTCACCTCCCGCTCCTGTTTTGTCATTTCAGCTGGAAGGAAATGTGGCTACAAGATTATTGGCAAGGTCTCTATCAGGGGGAAGCTCTCACTGCCATGATCCACAACAATGAGACACAGCAGAGGAAATTTTGGGATTATGTACATGAGATCTTCATGAAAAGGAATAAAAATCTCTAACTGCCTTCATCCAAGAGCTGTTAGCTTGGAAGACTTAAGGAGACTGCTTTAAGCATCGACCTTTAGTGAATATTGTCTACTATGGATTGATGTTTTCATTGATTCTCCTGCCCTGTATTGGGGATTGGAATCTTGGGTTTTGAGAATGCTAGGCAAGTATCCCCATCTCTCTCTACCTGAATGGTATGGAGCCAGTATCTCAGCCTGTGGTAAGAGAGCTTCTCTTTAAAGAGAAACAGAAGCCAGAAACACCCATTTGACTCAAGTACACTTTTCATGTCTGTAGTCATTTCATCATTTTAAATATGGGCAGGATGGTTCAGGCTAGGATCTATAAAACTTCCGTTATTTAGTACCTTTAAATAGCGTCCATTCCTCATCAGCTGTTAACACTGGTGAGGAGGCAAAGCTGTATGTGTGGATGTGTTATTCCGTTTTTCTGCTTTTTTCTCCCTTTTGAGATAGGTCTCACAACATGGTCCAAGCCAGCATCCAGTAGGCCTAATTGACAGTACTTGCCTCAGCCTCTAAATAGCTGGGGCCATAGGTATACAACACTTTGCCCAGCTCTTCAAGTTTCTTTCTTTCTTTCTTTCTTTCTTCTTCTTTTTTTTTTTTTTTCAAGACAGGGTTTCTCTGTGTAGTCCTGGCTGTCCTAAAACTCACTCTATAGACCAGGCTGGCCTCAAACTCAGAAATCTGCCTGCCTCTGCCTCCCAAGTGCCGGGATTAAAGGCGTGTACCACCACTGCCCGGCCTTCAAGTTTCTTTAAAAACTACTCGCACTGTCTTTAATATCAAATGTCTTTTAAGTAGCTTGCTCTTTCTGACTTTAGGCTATTTCCCACAAACTGGAAAGACTGACAAATGAGAGGTTTATATCATTCTTACTGCTTGGTTTTCTTGTTTGGGGTATATTTGGAATTCCTTCTCTTAAGAACAGATTAAGTAGCTAATATGACACTGATGTCAGTTCAGTGTATCGCCTTGTTCTAGGGCTGGAAAGCTCCATTCAATCCATTACTCAAATGCTCTCACATTCTTCCAGGTACCTTTATGGTGCTGAATCACTGGTTTGTTTTTTTTGTTGTTGTTTTTGTTTTGTGTTTGAGAAGGCAAGCATTCTGTATATTGAGTTATAGCTACAACCCTGATAACCAAGGGTTTCTTTGTATGTGTGTGGTTTTTGTTTGTTTGTTTTTACTTATTTTTTTTTTTTTTTTTTTAATAAAGCCAGCCCAAGACCCCAGCTCAAACAGTGAAGAAAGCAAGGGATTTAAGTCACCCTTAAGTGGCTAGCTAAATAAAAACTTTAGATTTGGGGTTGGAGAGATGGCTCCACTGTTAAGAGCACTGGCTATTCTTCTAGATGGCCCAAGTTTGATTCCCAACACCCACACAGCAGCTGACAACTGTCTGTAACTCCAGATCCAGGGGGATTAGATACCTCATCTTGCCTCTATGGGTACCAGGCAAGTATGTGCTGTACAGACAGACATATATATATTCAAGCAAAACTCCCATTATACCCACAACCAAACCTGTAGATCTGAAGATATAGAAGATATATATATGTCCTGCTGTAGGACACCAGGAGCTTTTTCTGGGGCAATAAGAAAGAATGCCTTGGACCTTAGAGCAATGCTTACTGTATTGATGAATTATCACTTGAGAAGTCTCTTGGTTTATCAGTGTATCTGATTGTGAACTACAGATATCTGTGAATCCATGTCTATACAGATAGATATATATATGCATGTTAGATAGATATACAGGCTTCATGGTTAATATTGTGACATCTAAAGATGTGACCAAAAAAAGCTTTAACATAGGTTGGAATTACATTGCTAAAATTTTTGTTTCTCGTTGTGTGTGTTGTTGGAGATGGATCCTAAGGCTCTGTGCATGTTAAGCATGTGCTCTGGCTCTGCCTCTGACTTATGTGCCCAGACATGGAAATTGTTTAACCTATTTGTTTTTTTTGTTTGCAGAGAACAAGATGTTAAAAAAAAAAAAAAAAGTGGGTCCATGAGTGCTAGACCAACTTGGGTTACAACAGCAAGACTGTCTCAAAAAAAAAAAAAAAAAAAAAGTTAACATTTTATAGTATAGATGGGCATGGTTGTGTATGCTTTAGTTTCAGCATTCCAGCACTTTGGGAGGCAGAGGCAGGTGGATCAAGTGTTCCAGGCTAGCCTGAGCTCTATGTTGAGACCCCATCTCAATAAATAAATAAACATAAATAAATAAATATAGAATAAAACAAATCAAGAGGATTCTGATTCCCAATCAAGTCATCAATTTCAGTGCAGGTTTTGATTTCTATAGCAAAATAAGTATTATTCGAGCACAAGCCTAAATCAGAACTCAGATGTGATGTGCAACAGGACGGGTAAGTGACAGGTATTCAGGTGTAGGGTCCTGTCCATTCCACCAGCTCACATGAATACTCACTCCTCAAGTGCTTTTATGCAAAGTGAGCCAGCTGTTCATGAATGGTTGTTGCTGGAGAATCAAGCCTGTTTTTTTGCTCAGTTCTTCCCAGACTTATCCTTTATCCCTGTCATTATGTAAATAATCATAAAAAACAGGGCAAATCAGGTGCTACATTTCCACAAGGGAAAGAACTATGAATAACCACATAGTACTATACCAAGGAAAAAGCTTTACTTTCCATGTGAAAAAAGCAACAAGAATTTTTTCCAGTTTGAGGCTCAGCTACTATGTATACAGCGCCACTATTTGCTATAGGTTATGAGTACTAGTGGTAGAAGTTTCTAATAGAAGTCTTTTATTTACTACCGGAGTATGGGATAGAATACAAGGCTGATGGCAAGTGTTACTATTTGTTTTATTATCTCAGGTTTCATTTTATATAATAAACTGCTTTTTACAGTGTCTTCTACCTAGTTATTTTATTATACTTGTTTATTATGTGTATGTGTGTGGTAGCTTGTACTACGCTGTACATGTATATGTCAGAGAGTCAGTTTTCTTTCTACCACGTGGTCACAGGGACTGAACTCATCAACAGAATAGTGGCAGCACCTCTGTTCACCAATTGAGCCATTCTGCTGGCCTGTATTTGCTTATTTTGGGGGCTTGAGGGTGATAAGACTGGAGACTTGTAAAAAATAATGGTAAACACTTTTCCTTTGTTGTTTCATTATTTTATTTATTTATTTTTGTTTGTTTGTTTCTTTAAGGCAGGGTCATGTTATGTGGCCCTGGCTTGCTTAGTACTCATTATATGTAAATTTGGCTGGTTTCAAACTCTTAATGTCTCCTGCCTCTGACATAACTATTTTTAGGCACCAGAGATTAGCAATGAACAAGATACACAAAGGCGCATCTCATTTTAAATATTTTTAAAGAGATATTTAGGAGCTGGGGAGATGGTTCAGTGGTTAAGAGCACTTACTGCTCTTCCAAAGGTCCTGAGTTCAATTTCCCAGCAACCACATAGTGGCTCACAACCATCTGTAATGGGATCTGATACCCTCTTCTGGTGTGTCTGAAGACGGCGACAGTGTACCCACATACATGAAATAAACCTTAAAAAAAAAAAGATATTTAAAACTATTTTTCCGTGCTTGCTTCGGCAGCATATATACTAAAATCAGGACTATACAGAGACTATTAGCATGGCCCCTGCACAAGGATAACACCCAAATTTCATGAAGTGTTGCATATTTTTGTAAAGTGAAAAAATTTTAGCAAATGCAAATTAAAGTTTTGGAAAGAAAAAAATTTCCTTGTGTGTGCATGCATGCAATCTGGAGGTAGAAGTAATTATTACCCCTGTGAAGTGAATGCTGGAAACCAAATTGAGTCCTCTGGAAGATCTAGAAACACTCTAAGCAAGAAGCTACCACTCCAGCCGGAGCTAAGATTTTAAAGTAGATGTTGGGCTAGATAAGGTCACAAACAAAATTGTGTGTGGTGGGTGCGGTAATGGCTGCCGGTAGGGTGTGGCCATAGAGGGAAAACCCTTCTAATGTGAACCCAGTGTTAATCTTGAGATTTGCCAGAAAAAACAAGTCCACCATTTTGGGCTAAATTTAAAGCAAGCTTTATTAGATACTAAACACTGATGGACTTTAGTCAGAACCAGTCCCCAGAATTTCCCTCCAGAGATTGGCCTTGAGCTACAGGACTCAGGAAGAAAGCCATTCATGTAGGTTATCAAGGGAGGATTCCAATCATTTGTGGTAAATAATTTGAACAAGAAAGTACCTATGCAAATACATCGTGCTCTAAAGTAGACATAAACTACAGGACTGCTGGATTCTGCTTCCATTAGCAGAAATGTCTTGGGAATTCATTTGCAAATCCTAAAGAATCCATAGCACATCATTTGACTCGGTTTTGTAAACAGTTAAAAGTCAAACACTAAGTCCAACAAATCACAACTGCAGGTCTTTTTTTTTTTTTTTTCTTTCAGAGCTGAGGACCGAAACCAGGGACTTGCGCTTGCTAGGCTAGTGCTCTACCACTGAGCTAAATCCCCAACCCCATAACTGAAGGTCTTATAAAAAGAAAGAAATTCGCTACAGGATTTCTCTTTGTAGTCCTGGCAGTCCTGGAAACCAGGCTAGCCTCGAACTCCCAGAGATCCGCCTGCCTCTGCCTCCCCAGTGCTGAGATTTAAAGGCGAGCGCCACCATCTCCTGGCAAAAGGAATCACCTTTCTTACAGATTTGTTAAAAGTCCTATGCAACCCAATATCCTTAACTCCAGCCCCAGGGGATCCCACGCCTTCCCCCTGGACCACGGTCGCAGCACACACGTGGTACCCACCACACAGACACAGACTCAAACAAATGACAGCCTCGGACATGGAGTCCTTGAGTCCTGCCCCGTCCGGAGCACGCAAAGGGCGTACACAACGTAGAGCATCCTAACCTGGTGTCGGCTGCCGGCCCGACAGGGTTCAACTCGAGTGTCACTGTGAGGCCAAGACCCGGAAAATGCGCGCACGGCTGGCCATGGGCCGCACGCCAAGCGCGTAGAGGTCAAGTGGGGTCACGCACGGCGTCGCGGAGCCTACTGGGAATGCTGTGCAAAATGGCGACGCCCAGTCTACACGGCCGACTGGCGCGGTTTTCGACTCCGGGAAAACCTATCCTGAAACCCAACAAACCTCTTATCTTAGCTAACCGCGTCGGGAACCGACGCCGAGATAAAGGCGGTGAGCACTTGGAGAGGAGGCGGCTGGGTAATCTCGGGGAAGAGGTGTTAGGTCGGCCTGTGACTGAAGGTCCCCCAGTTCTTCCCTTCCAGAGGCAACCTGTATCACGGAGATGTCGATGATGATGGCTTGCTGGAAGCAGAATGAATTCCGCGACGAGGCGTGCAGGAAAGAGATCCAGGACTTCTTCGATTGTTCTTCCAAGGCTCAGGTGATGTCTGGCTCCTAGTGTGCCTTCTTAGGACGAGAAAGGAAGTACAAATAAATGGTTCACATGGCCTTGTGATAATTTTTTTGATATTTTATTTACATTTCAGATGTCATCCCCTTTCCCCATTTCCCCTCCCTAGAAACCCCCTATCCCATCCCCCCTCCTCCTTTTTGTTTTTATACCATTTTAATTACATGCAAGTATTAAGGTCAGTTCTAGGTTGAGGAACTAGCAATACAATAAATGCAACTAGTCAAGGAACAAGCAAGACAATAAACACAAATAGTCAAAGAACAAGCAGGCCTTGTGCTAAATTAGGTAAAGAGTCTCTCATTCATCTGGAATTGTCTCACCCTCACCAAAGTGAGAAAAGCTAAGTTTTGATTAAGGTTGATCTTCACTAATTTGCTAGCTAGAATATAGTTTCAGATGGTAGCAATCATTTGTACACCCCAAATCCCTTTAAATCCCCTTTTTGTTTCTTTGGGTTGTTTACTCTGTGTGTGTGTGTGTGTGTGTGTGTGTGTGTGTGTGTGTGTGTGTATGTATGTATGTATGTAAGTGTGTAAGTGCTTGCATGCTTGTGTGTTTGAATATGTAGGGACACATCTGTGGGCACCAGTGCTGTGTGGTGGCCTGGGGTAAATGTCTGGAATTTTCCTCCATCCCTCTTCTACTTTATTCTTTGAGGCAAGGTCTCTTTATAGTATAGAATATTATAAAAATTATGGGTCTAGGTCAGAATAATCTGAAGAAGTGTTTCTATTTTTCTTTTTCTGTTTTGTTTTCAGAAAGCCAGGAAGATGAGATCAACCCAGGAGACATTGGGACAGTCTGAGAGTTTACCTCCCCACCAAATGACCAAATTGTTACAGAGATTTCCCAACAAATCTCATCTCAGCTGAAGATGGAGAAACATTTTCAATGGACTCTTGTTTTTGACAGATGTATAAAAGCATGTTAGGGATGTTCGCATTTGCATTCCCGTCCGTTATTGAAGAGTAAAACGAGGCAAGACACTTAATTTTGCTCTTCTGGATGAATCATGTTCTAGATGCTGTCTTGAAATAAAACCCTCTAAAAAGAAATTGGCCATTTCTTCTAATTAGCTGCTACTCCTCACACCCCCAACCCCATCCTGAAGATGAACATCTTGGCCTTTCCCTTCACTGGGCAAGCACCCAACCACTGAGCTAACTTCCTTCTTGAGCTCTATAATCTCCCCTAGACCCTGGAAGTTCTTTACTTCCTAGTATGTTCTTCATTTCCTTTCATTTTGTTTTTGTTTTGTTGGGGGGGGGGATTGATTGATTCTCTGTTTCCCTGGCTGTCCTGTAATTCACTTTAGATCATGCTGGCCTCAAACTCCGAGATCAGCCTGCCTCTTTCTCCAGAGTGCTGCGATTAAAGGCATGTGTCACCACCTCCCAGTCCAATATGCTTTTTTTGTTTTGTTTTTTGTTTTTTTTGAGACAGGGTTTCTCTGTGAAGTCCTGGCTGTACTGGAACTCACTCTGTAGACCAGGCTGGACTTGAACTCAGAAATCCACCTGCCTCTGCCTCCGAAGTGCTGGGATTAAAGGTGTGTGCCACCACCCCTGGCTCCAAGTATGCTTTTGATGAACAAGTCTGGATATCTTCTGTTGCTTTTCAAATCCTGTACGTCATTTAGTCCTTTGGCTCTTAGATACGTAGTGGCAGTGACGGCTCTGTATGCAGAGCTTCCTTACCATCAGCTCTCCTCAGTGCATCCTTCACAAATAGTCTGTCCAAAGTGCTTACTGAAGCAAGTGCATACACTGCCTCCAGAGACTCTGTAGATGCATTTTATTTGATTTGTACAGTTAATATTTTCTAGGGCCTGGAGAGATGGCTTAACATTTAAATGTGCTTGCTACTTTTGCAGAGGACTGGCATTGTGTTCCACAGCAACCATGCTAGGTGCCTCACAACTTCCTATAACTAGCACCTGGGGATCTGATAGCCTTTTCTGGGGCCTTCAAGTGCACTTAGATACAAACAATAAAAAAATTTGTTGGATATGGTGGTTCTGACAGGTTGTATATGCTCAGCCCAGGGAGTGGCACTATTAGGAGGTGTGGCCTTGTTGGTGTAGGTGTGTCACTGTGGGAGTGGGCTCAGGACCCACATCCTAGCTGCCTAGAAGTCAGTCTTTCATTAGCAGCCTTCAGATGAAGATGTAGAACTCTAAGCTCTTCCTGCACCAAGCCTGCCTGGATGCTGCCATGTTCCTGCCTTGATGATAGTGGACTGAACCTGTGAACCTGTAAACCAGCCCCAATTAAATGTCCTTGGTCATGGTGTCTCTTTGACAGCAATAAAACCCACACTAAAACAGTGGTGCATGCCTTTCCTCTAGCACTTAGAAGGCAGGCAGGCAGACCATAGAGCAATGCCGCAAAGAAACCCTGGCTCAAAAAGAAAAACAAAACAAAATCATTTTTTTTAAAGTTGCTTAAAAAAAAAAAATTAGCCTGGCAGTTGTGGGCTCACACCTTAAATCCAGCACTGAGGCAGGCAGATCTCTGAGTTCAAGGCCAGCCTGGTCTATAAAGAGTTCCAGGACAGCCAGGACTACAGAGTGAAAATATGTCACAAAAACCTCCAAAAAGAAAACTAAAAAGTAAAAACTACCAATGAGTTAAATACTCTGCCCAGCCTTGCTCAATGTATAAATAAGCAGTACTATGTTCTAAATTTGATAAGTAACTTTTACCTAAGAAATTTGAAGGTAAAGTTTTTTCACTTCCCCTCTGGCAACTATTTTCTTTTTCTACTAAATAATCAGGTAGAGTAGATGATTATGTCTTAGTATTTCAGTGACTTTCCACATAATTCTCTCAAGTGGTAGAACTAAGATTTTGTAGGCAATTCATTGTAAATTACTGGGTTTTTTTTTCTTATATTCTCCTGTTTGTTGAAAGTACTTACTGCCCTCTGATAGTAGGAATAATTGTATGGGATTTTGAGTATGTTCTGCCCCTTCAGGGACAATCAAGTTAACCCTTTCTTGGTAGCTGATAGTATTAATGCGGTATGGGGATGAGAGTTCTCCACGGTCTAATGTGATAATTACTACAGTGAAGAGGGGTCTTTCCTCTCTCTAATAGCTAGATTTCTCCATAGTTGTGTATTCCACTATAACTGCCTGGTTCTGCAAGCTGGGTCTTAGTTATAAGAAGAAAATCGGTTTTGGGATACTTTGGACTAAGGAGTCTTAATTTAGAGTCAGTAGATTCCTATTAGCCTAATAAGTTTGTGAACTGGGATGAGGAGAAATATATCTAGTCACAGCTGAAATTTAGCATTTCAATCAGGGTTATAAGAAACAATCGACAGTAGCATTAGTGCCTATATAAAATAATAAAGAGGGGTGGATGGTGGCATGGAACACCAGGACCTTGTAAATGCTAGGCAAACATTATCAATTAAAATACCCTGCCGAGGGGTAGAGAGGTAGCTCAGCCAATAAAGGCTGGGCTCACAACCAGAAATGTAAGAGTTAAATACCGTGCCGATCTTGGCGTTTAATGTATAAATAAACAGTAATATGTTACACGTTTGTTTTATAAATCTCGATAATTGTATTTAAACCTAATTAATGTGTAATTCATAAACAATCAGGCGAGGTGGAAGGCATCCACGGACTTCACTATACTGATAAAAGGCCTTCATCACACACGCACACTCGCAGATTAAAAATCCCCAGATTCAAAGGCAGTACGGAGGAAAAGGACATCCATTTCCTGAAATCAAATGCTTTCTTTCCTGGCGCTTTCCTTTAGATGCTAAAGTGGCTGGATTATAGGCTTTGGACTGCAACTCCCAGAAGACGATGCGGCCTCGGCCTATCCCGAAGCGTGACAATAACCTATCCAATGGTCACTGCACGGTCCCTTGACAACCAGTAATTCTCGATGTGAACAGTGGCTGCTGCTTCTTTAGGGACACTATGGGTACCAAGTAATTGCTAGAATTCGTGGCTTTTTCCTATACCTTCGGGAGCTGTGTGTGAGGGTGGGTTCGAGAAAACTGCAGGCAATGCACACACATGTCCCCTACACCCGCCCGTACGCGGTCCAGTCCTAGAGCACGCGAGGGCGGAAGTAGTGATGGCCGGCGCGGCCGGAAGTTCGGATCAGCTGATGGGGGAGGCGGCGCCGCAGCCGCCTAGAGGCCCTGGCCGCCCAGCGCTTCGTCCCGGCCTCGAGTCTCGCAGACTGGCCACAATCCCCACTCACACCTCGCTGTTGGGTGAGGCCCGGCCCAGTGTCCCTCCCAGGCCCGAGATCCTCGTCCGGCACGGCCGCCCTGAGCGCCCCGGCCACCCCCAGCCCCGGCTCGCCCCTCAGGCCCCGGGCCTCCCCTCAGTCCCCGGCCGGTGGCCCAGGCCCCGGATCCGCGGGGGGAGACCCGGCCCCGGGGGGTGCGGGCCCCATGGAGCTGATGTTCGCGGAGTGGGAGGACGGCGAGCGCTTCTCGTTTGAGGATTCCGACCGCTTTGAGGAGGATTCACTCTGTTCGTTCATTTCCGAGGCCGAGAGCCTTTGCCAGAACTGGCGAGGATGGCGCAAACAGTCAGCGGGGCCCAATTCCCCCACTGGAGGCGGTGGCGGAGGTGGCAGTGGCGGTACCAGAATGCGAGGTGAGGATGAGCCGGGAAGGCTGCGAGGGGGAGGGGAGCAGGCTGGTCCCGCTTGGGCCTTGCTTGGGAGCTGTCCGGACCGGGAGCTGTCCCAAGCTTAGAGCAGACTTCAGGACTCGCTTCTCTGGCCTTCCAGGGATGGAGTGGCATCTTAATAGTAGAGTTGGGGGTGGTGGTGGAGAAAGATAGAGAGAGGGGAGGGGAGGGGGAAGGAGGGGGGGGGGGAGGGAGGGAGGGAGGGAGGGAGGGAGGGAGAGAGAGAGAGAGAGAGAGAGAGAGAGAGAGAGAGAGAGAGAGAGAAAGAGAGAATATGAATTCGTTCACTTGCGCGCGTTCACACAAGCTTGTGTTGTGGCAAAGAACATCCTGGCTTGGCCAGAAAGATCTTTTGTTATTCCTTTACACCTTAGAGACCAAATATGGGAGAATACCCCTTTTCTGTTTTAAGAATGCTTAACAGAATTTGGCCTTTAGTAAACCAGAAGTAGGCAGAAGAGAATGTCGTTAGTCGTGGATTGTGAAAAAGTGACCACTTGAGGTGTGTTACTCTATGGGATGGTGATTGGTTGCTTTGCTTCCAGGATGTTAATCTCTCCTCATAAGCTGCACCAACAAAGTATTCCACCAGGAGAAAAGTGGAAGTGAGCTTGCCTGTGAGGGGAGATGCTGTAATCCATAGGGTTAAACCAGACTCATGGCATCAGTTAGAAGGAAAGGCTGGGAGCCTTGAACTTCCATATCTGAAGTCTGAGGGGTGTGAGCAGTTATCTTGGGGCTCTCCTCACGAAGCACCTTTCCTTTGAGTTTCCTTCATTCTTGGTCTTCCAATGAAGTGATGTGTTAGTGCTGTGAAGAAATTTTGCTTTTGAAGGGGGGTGGAGAAAGGAGAAGAAAGAAGAAAGAAGCCTCACAGGCTTAGGAATCATCACATCTTTCTCCCACTCAGCCCGAGGCAGATTTTGTCCCGGGCCTCAGTGGAAGCTGGCTTTCTTCAGTAGTTGAAAGGACTAATGTATGTGTTCTAGCTAGGCCATTCCAAAAGACCTGTTCTGCAAGCTGCAGAGATGTCTGGTGTCCCTTTAGGATACAGAGGAAGTTGCCTATGCCACTTTCTAGGAGTGGTAGTAGTCAGCTTCTGGAGAGAGAATGCTTGTCTGTATGTGTGTGCACACATCCATGTGCAGAACTCAAGCAGCTTCACTATGAGTCTTATGTGAGCTCCCTACTTCTTATATGTGAGGATGTGGACTGTCTCACTTCAGGAGAAGTAACTAAAAGCATGGTGGGAGAGATTTGCAGCATATTGATGCGGTTGGTCCTGCATAGGTTAAGATCTTTTCCCTCTTTCTTCCCTCCCTGCCTGCTATTCTCCTGAGAGAGGATCTGGCTGTACAGCCTGGAAAGGTCTTGACCCTTCCTCGA